CTATTTTTTTTTTTTTTGCTAATGAAATTTTGTTTGTTTGTTGGCAGCATCATGCGAGAAATAAGAAGTGCTTTGTATGTGATCAGCCCACGAATGGGATATTCAACACGGCCTTTGAGATACGGAAAAAGATGGCTGCTGAGAGAAAGTAATGAATCAAATGTGAGCTTTTTGGGGCAATCTGTTGGATAACTATTAATATCTAAGCTCTGTTGTTGATACTCTTATTCTGTTTCCTTTTTTTTTTGGCTGAATGTTGTGTTTTAAACTTTGCTCGTCTTTCCTATACAAATCCTTCAGTATTTGCCACAAACTTTTAGTTTTATTCTTGGACCAATCTCTTTTATAGTTCTTCCCATGGTGCAAATTAAGGTATTTGAATCTCTCAACCGTGTTCTTCTGGTGTGTTCTAGGAAAGATTTATGTAGTTTGCATGTCCATAATCTTGAACAGAATTGAGTTAATCGTTCCCAAGTGTGCAGAACAGAATTGAGTTAATCGTTCCCAAGTGTGCAGTATAAGCGAACTGTTGAGCAAAAAAACGATATCACAAACTGAAAATGCTTATAAGGAAGGAGTAGGGGGAATCTCCACTAGATATTGATTTGCTAAATCTGACACTTCAAAACATCTAGACTGCATGTACCATAAACTTTGGCGCATACGAAACTCAAAGGTTATGTGTGAAGTTTTTGGTACCTTCGAGAGTATTTTCGATCAGGATAGAATGGATAGGAATCAGGATAGAATGGATAGGAATCAGGATATACGTATGTCAGATGAAAAACCACAGTAGATTCAGTTCCCGGTCCCTCAAAGGCATCCGACTTTTTTTCCGCACAAACTCAAACTTGCACGGTCGGAAGCCCTTGAGGGAGAGGGAACTAAAACTCACGTAGTGAAAGAAGTGTTTACAGTGAAATTGTTTGAACTAAAGTTGGTTTTTTTTTTTTTTGGTTGTTGACAGTAATAAGTTGCACCTTTTTATAGCCAGAAATCTTGAGGAAATGTTACTCTGGCACTTGAGAGGTGAAATGGTATGGGCGAATCAATCGACATTCTTTTGGAATCACGATAGATTTTCTAATCCAAGCAGTATGGACACCGGATATGGGTCTCGAATACACAAGTCAACACCTCACAAATCTCGAGAATAAAGCATCTCAGCCTCTCAGGCATCCATTGATGATAACATTATTCATAACAAGGTCTCTTTAGACATGTCCACGGGCCGAACCGGCCGTAAACCGGTCCTGGCCCGGCCCTGAACCGGCCTCCTAAGGGCCGGTTCGTTGAACTGGACCCTCAGGGCCGCGGTTTGGTCCCGGGCTATAATTTTTTTTTTGTCCTGCCAGTCCGGGCCGGGCTGCGGGTGGCTTGGCCAAAGTGTTATTTTCTTTTTTCTTAAGGGTCATCCCGGCCCGTGAACCGGCCGAGTCGGTGAACCGGCAGTTCGGGCCGGTTCATAGAACCGGCCCATAGTTTATTTCGGGCCTGTCATGAGCCATGGTATTGAGGCCCGTCGGGTTGGGGGCCCGGCCCGGCAATTGGCCACCTCTAGGTCTGTTTTTCCTTTTTCCACCCTCTTGCTATTGGACGTCGAGTCGTCGACCAAGTTGTGAAATGGGGAGTTACTAGTTGTTTGGCACAGGAGTATGTGATAATTGGTACGAGGGAATGACACGAGAATGAAATGGTTATTTTATTATTCATTTCTTATTGCATGATTGATATATTATTATTCCCTCAAGAATGAAATGGTTATTTTATTATTCATTTCTTATTGCATGATTGATATATTATTTTTAAAGAGATGATCTGGAATCACAAAACTCATTCTCAGGGAATTAGCCGTACCATGGCTAATGCAAGGTTTTCCATTCTTATATTTATAGGAATCAATATTTCAACAAATAAAATTAATAAATAATAATAAAAAAACTATATAATAAAAACAAAATATATAATATATGTTATAAATCAGGAATAAATTATATTATATAAATTGTTTTAAAAAATAAATTTCAAATAATAAATTTAAAAACTTATTGTTATTTATTGTTAATAATTCAATCAGGTATATTAAATACTTATATAAGAGCAAAACTAAAAAAAAAAATGCATTTATAAATCATTTACAAAGATATTATTTTATTTTTATACAATCATATATATTACATATTTATTCATAACTTGAATTATAATATAAAAAATTATATTCGACCATATATGCTTATAGAAGTTATGTAATGATATATTTGTATTAGTTAATATGGATATGAATACACAATTCATTAATTTATTATATAATATATATATGAGTGTAGCACTACAAAAAAATGTATTTATTTTTTTACCAAAGAAAAAAATTATTATTATGATAAATAAAAAGTAACATTAATATAAACATTTTTTTTTTCTATAAAATAGTGGTAAATGATAATATAGAATGATAATGTCATTCCATTCAAGTATTATTCTTTATGCATACCAAACAAAAAAATGGAAAAACTTATTTCACTCATTTCTCATATTCATTCCATTTCTATCAGATTTCATTCCATTATAACAAATAATGCCATAAAGTGTGGAAGTAACGAACTCAAAATCTTTATGCGGCATGTATAAATAGTTTTAACTTTTTTCAAAAGAAAAAAATAATAGTGGATTCCCAAAAGTTCATTTGATAAATTTGTGAACAATAGTCAGAGATATAACCGCTATTTTGCATATATTAATATATAAAGATGCAATGATATTTATTTAAAATAGTAACTAAAAATCAACCAAAAAAAAATATTGATTTCCCGGCTAAAGTATTTATTATATTGAGTAATATTTTTTTGCCAAACTTTGAAAAATCCCGCGTAAATTGATGTAATTAATGTACAGAAACATTTTGGTCAAATATTGCAGTTATTAGCTTTATTGGTTGCACGATCATAATTTGAAATATAATATATTGACAAAACTTGCAGTTATTACTTTTATTAGTTGCATGGTTTAAATTTGATATATAATATATTGAAAAAAAAAAGATTTTTATTTAAAATTAAAAAAAAATTATTCATAATTTGCGGGTCAATATTAACTTGGACGTAAACGAAATAGTTAATTATTTATGATTTATTAAATTACTCAATAATTTACGGGTCAATATTAACTTGGACGTAAACGAAATAGTCAAGTATTTATAGTTTAATATATTACTCAACTACTTAATTCTTTTATATGAATAGTTTATACAAAAACAGATTATTTTAAGTAATGAAACGATATAAATTTTATATTTATACTTGTTATTCATATAGGTTGTTAAATATATGATAACATTTTACCAAAATAACTATTTTATGGAATCACATTATAGTTAAATTGATTTTCTAAATAAATTATTGAAATGATACTTATTTTGAAGCGAATATAATGTGATTTATTATCAGTTATGTGCAGCACACGTGTTGTGTATTAATTTTAAATAGACATTTTTATGTAATTTTGTACAATTTAAACTTTATATAACATTTTCAATATATTATAATAAATAATTGTATTACATACTGATTTCATATTTTTAATTTATAAATATTATTTAATAAATAATTTAATTTATAAATATTAGTGAATATATCTAGAGTGCGTAGTTGGTAGAAAAGGAATAAGCTCAACTACGGTCAAAAATTCTATGGAGCCATCGGATTGTTTTCTTATGGAGCCATCCATCACTTAATATAATGACACCTGTCTAAATTGTATTTATTGTAGGACACGTGTCAATACACTATTGGTGATTAAGTATGAATTGCTCCATAAGCCGAGCCATCCGATGGCTCCATAGCAAAACTGCAACTACGGTATGCAGTACCTGAAAGGCAATCGTGTAAATTACCTGAAAAATGGTTAGGCAATCGGTAAATTAGGTTGGTTTCAATTCGGTCAAACATAGATATTAAAAAAATATGTGATCTTATTTTCCAAGAATGATAATCTTGATAAATAAATTTAAATATTTAGTTATTAATATCATTTTATTATAAAGAAAAAATACTTTACAATGAAATTTTACTTTTTTAGGTACATCATTTTATATCAATTATAAATTTTAAGTTTTCAATTATAAAGAAAAATTATAATTTTTTTAGGTATATAAAATGTGGGTAAAAATTTAATAAGAATAAAGAAATTGAGAATAAAATTTGAGAAGTTGAGTAGCCATATTTTACAATGTCTCAAACCCACTGAATATAGACATTGATTATTGTAATATCACATGCACTAACACACACCAATATAAACAGTGAATATTGTTATATCACAGGCACCAACATCAATATACCAGTTGCCTCAAATTCACAGTGATCTCCTCCGCAAAGGCTGACTTTCAACTTCGAGGCGACTCTGACATTCGATGGCGGGCTCCGGTTGCAAGCTCCAGTTGCTGCCTTACGATGGTCGGAGTCGAGGTTTGTTAAGTTCGTGAAATATTGAAGAGATATGGGAAGATGACACACCCCATTGTGGTGTCCTCATATTATTATATCACCTATATATACACAACAATACCTAGATTACTTACAAGGTACTACTAGGAAAATATACTAACAAATATACAACCCTAAATATACCAATATGCTAACACCCCCCCTCAAGTTGGAGCATGAGGATTCCGAATGCCCAACTTGCTAAGAAAGTGATCAAGCTCGCGCTTGCCTAAGGCCTTTGTAAATATATCTGCGAGCTGTGAATGAGTGGAGACATGCGATGCAGAGATGAGACCACAAGGGCATCCCGAAGAAAATGGCAATCAACTTCGATGTGCTTGGTGCGCTCATGGAGAACCGGATTGGCAGCAATGTGTAGTGCAGCTTGGCTATCACAATAAAGGCGCATTGGTTGAGAATGATGAACACCAAGACTTTTTAGTAAACCGTGAAGCCACTTTAATTCGCACGTAAGTGTAGCCATTGCCCGGTTTTCTGCCTCAGCGTAAGAACGAGCTACAGTGTGCTGCTTCTTGGTCCGCCAAGAGAGAGTGACCAAGCTGGACAAACCAACCAGTAAGCGACCGACGAGTGGTAGGACAAGTCGTCCAATCGGAATCGCACCAGCCATAAAGTTGTAAATCACAATCGGCCCGAAGAAGAATACCTTG